AGCTGCATAGCTCAACCGGAGGCCCTCGGTGACTGCGCACATCTCCGAAGCTGAAGTGCCCCGGGTGCCTGGAGCTCGAAAGCCATCCACAGCACCTTTTCGGCACTTGCTTGAGCTTGTATGGTCGTGCTTGCAGCTTTTGTGAGCTCCGGCTCCGGCAACATCCTTCGAAAGCACAGCAATTGCCTGCATGATGCGACCAGATCATACCAGATCCATCACCCGCGAAATTTCCCCACTCATGAAGACCCAGGAGAGTAAAGAAATCCCGAACTTACATACATAAATTATCCTCACTTGAAAACTGCGCAATGCTCAATCACATCTGGCAAACTCGCAAGATTTACGGGCTGAGGGAGCCATGAACCCTCCCACTCCCAGCAGCACGTTGATGCACAGCGCGCAGGAGATCAGAATCCTCGGCTGCACAAGCTGCCAACATGGCCTAAGGTATCCTGCATTGCAGGCCCAAGGTCCAAAGTCGCCGAGTTAAGACACAGCTATCACCAGCCAACAACGCGGAACCAGCCCCACAGCAAAAAAGCGCCCGGATTCAGTGCATCCCAAAAGCAGAAGCCTCCGAAACTTACCGAAGCCTGGGCCTCTTTGTCGTAATTTTCAGAGAGCATCTCGAAGCTGTTCGATTGCAGCCAGTGCTTCAGCCTGGTCCGGAGAATCAAGGCTACGTACTAAGGCCTCCCCATTTTAGAACATTTCAGAACGCTCGCAAGGGCTAACGGGGGATGAGGATGAGCCTCGTCGCTTTAGCAGTGCTGAGACGCAGATGCAACAACCTCTTTTTTTAGTCACCGAGAGCAGTGGTGCTTGCGCCCATGCCCCAGTAGAACTTAGCATTGAACTCATCTCAAGAGGATGGCATCCCGGAACAGGCGGGGAGCTTCTGCCGGGCGCTAAGGCTTCGCCATCGCTTCAGAATGTTGGATTCCGTCTCCTCGGCTCAACGGACAGAGAAGCAACACGAAATGCCGTGGCAATTGAGGATTGGACTCCCTCTAGGCTCGTTTCTGCCTCGCAGCCTTGCAGAGCACACCAAGGACCTGGTTTCTCTGCCAAGGCTCCGAGAAGAAGCCAAACCTTGGCAGCCGGGAAGCGTCAGCATCTCAAACTCAAGACCGGGCGAGCTAAGTGCTACCACTATAAGTACCGCTCCTCCCCTGGAGGCCCGCAAGCAGTGTGAGGGCTCGGGGTATCGGCCCACAAGTAGGCCAAAGAGGTCCCAGGACTGCAAAAAGGGCCAAGGAGCGTGGCAGACGTCTGCTGACGATGGCCTGGCTCCACCACATCAGCGGAGTCCTTTGTGTAGCGGGCTACAGCTCGTTTATGGGCTTCGCTTGGGCGAGAAGGCCCACTGCACTCCCGCCGCTGCCTGCACATGATGGCATGTCCACCCGGACCTGCACCACCTGTTGGGACGCTGCAGCGCGGTTAAAAACCCGCACCAGATGTGAGCGGAGCTTCCAGCATCTCCAGCAGCTCTCGGTCCACAGAGGTGGCAGATTTCTGCGAGGGCACCGAGTTCACGGCGAAGGCCTCGAGGACCTGCAGGGGAGGCACAGTGAAACTCGCGGACCGAACCTGGAGAGATGTTACTGGTACTCACACTCTGAGTGCGTTCAGCGGGTGCTCCGCCTTGTCGGCGTTGACCTCGGGCATGCCTTGTCGCTGCCGACAGAGAAGCCTCAGTGGCGACTGTCAAGTTGCAGCCGAAAGCATTCCAGCAGCTGCCGCAGCTCTCGCGCCCGGAACAGAGGGGGAGGGGAGTGTCTCACACGCACGGTGTGCAGCTTCGCAGCTGCTGCGACGTCGTCGAGCCTCGCCTCGGCAAAAAGACCCCTAAAAACAAGGGCTCGATTGGCAAGCGGACGCTAGCAGAGCCGCTAGCATCTCTGCGTACCGTGAGGACTCGATCGAAGTGGCCCCAAAGTGCTTCGTTTACACAGTAAACAGGCTCACAACCCTGACAAGGATCCCAAGCTTCAGCTTCGTCGGCTCCAGCGACATCGTCCCGACCTCGCTGCCTGCAACACCAAGCGCAGACACGTACTTCACACGGGCACGGAAAGCTGTAATGAAAAATGGGCGAACTCTGCCGAGCTCCCTCTTCTGTCCAGAGCACCGACACACCGGAATTTGCTGCCTGGAGTGACAACCCCGTTCGGCGAGTAATTGGTCATCTGTGTGGGCGTGGACCGGGAATGCTGGAGGTTCCTTGGTACAACTCGGCTTTCAGAAGGAGCGATAGGGATTTCTGTAGACTGACTGGCCGTCACAATCCACTCCTGTTCAAGGCAGCCAAACAAGAGCCCAAGAGGCTTCTGCAGACTTCTCGCAGCATCGGCATTGTCCATGGAGCGACGAATGCGCTTCGCACTGCGCTCCGTTTCCTGGGGAGTCGCGGCTGGATAGTATCCATCAATTCCAAGTGTATTTCCAGCTTGTGAAAATTAGTAACCACACTTCTGCACGGGAAAGAAGTTCGAAACTCTTGATAAAAATCCTACATGCCAATGTCAAAGAAGTCAAAGTGTTGATGCAGTGCAGCATTAAAAAAAGGTCCATTCCAAGCAACTGGTGGAGAGAAAAGCCGAGTGGCTCGAAGTTCAGTGACATGCTGCTGCACCTGACAAGCAGAGGGCGAGCGGCTGAAAGGGAGCTCCCGGCTCGGAGTCGAGGCGCCAGGGCGTCGAGCAGCGACTGGAAGGCTTTCGTCAGCTTCGGATTCCTGGAAAGCTCGGATCTTTGCAAAAAAGGGCGCCCCAGCTCCGAGCCCGAGCCTTCTCTCCGGAATTGCGTCTTGCTGCACCGCCCTGTCCGGCAACTTGCCTTGCAGACCGAGTCGGCTGGGAAGCCCTGACACGCGACTTCTCAGCTGAAACTTGCCGAGCCGTGGTGCGAGGGAAGATCGCAGACTTGTTCGTCGCATCTGATGTCCTTGGCCGGGAAAGCCGGGAGCAGTTTCAGAAATCCTGTAAAGTATTTAACTACATGGTCAATTGATGTAAAATCAAAATTGGACATTGAACCATTTAAAGGTTATTATGGAAAATTTGGAATTAAACAAATGAAATTTATTGAATGGTATACTGGCATTATAGATTATATGTATCAAAATCCATATTTATTAAAACGGCATTCTTTCTTGTACGCCAGAAATCAAATAATTGACATGCAAGATTACTCAAATTATCTTCATAAATTGTTAGTATATTATTTCAACTAATAGATTGTAAATGCACTGCCCAACAATTTAAAAAAATTGCATTAATATTTAATACCATTGTGGAATCTTAGGGTTCCAAGGGACGTTCTTGAAGCTTTCTTTCAAAAGCTCGTGCTGGGCTGTCACAAATAGAAACATGAAAAGCACAGAGCGCTGCACACAGGACGACACACGATTCAGTGACAAATCGGCCACGCATCATCATCTCCACAGAAACCTCTGATAGAGGTGACATGACCTCAGATGACGCAAGTTCGGGTTTGGTGATGGCCTTCGGATTCCAACGAATTCAAGTGCCTCCAGGCCACTGAGGCTACCGAATGACGTCCTGACGCCCCTGAGACTGCAGAGGCAGCCGACGCCGCCCCGGGCAAGTCTCGTCCAGAGTAGCCAGAGGTCGAGGACACGGAGGGCAAGGACTTCTGCGAGGGCCCAGCCTGCCGTGAAGCTTGCTTCCTGCTCGTTACTCCTTTGGAGAGGCGGCTATGAACTGCGCAAGCCTCTCGAAACCTCAATGCTCCACAGGCACAAGCAGAGTCCCGAACTTCGTCCCTTTGGTGTCTGGCCCCGTGCCCCATGTGGCCTGAGGGCTCGAAGCCGATGGCCTCAGTGTCACTGAAAGTGATGTGCAGGGCGAACAGTGCTTCATGGCATGTCCACTAATCTCTTGCCAAGCTGCTGGGATGTCAGCGGTGTGAGCACTGGAATCACCACGCCTAAAGCTAGTCCTAGATGGTCTTGCTGGATTTAGTAGGGGATGAAAAGTGAGGATATACCAGCGGAAAGATCCTGCACATACCTTCTCTGTGCTCCGACAACACCCAGAAGGGGCTTCATAAACCAACAAAAACAGAGAGCGGGCACTGTTCAGGCCATCCAGCCACGTCTTGGCACGAAGAGGTTTGTCTGCGATATCCGTCCCAGCCCCTGTCCGACCCTCTCAATTTCTGCTCAAGCTGCCGCTTTCCGTAGAGAGCTCGCTTGCGAGGACTGCGTCGTCCTCCTGAGTAAACGTCACGAAGGGCACTTCTGCACACAAGCCCCCAAAGCCAGGAAAGCCGTCGGCATCCCGTAGCCGCATCGACTTTCGCCCGTTTCAAGCGCACGAGCAACCCGCGGCACATGTCGGAAACAACGGAGACTACCAAAGCAGACCGGGGGGCAACATCGGGTTCGCTTGGCTGGACCTCGCGAATGTCCGGGAGGGCATAGAAACTGACCTGAGAAGTCGAACGCCGCTACTGCCGCTACTGTCGTCCACACGACGGATGTCTTAGTGAATGCCCGGAAAACACCAATCTTATCCGGCTCTAGGAGCCATCGCTGCGGCAAGCACGCGAAATCTAGCGACGCCAGGACTTCAGTCGAAAGCCGTTTCCGACTCTTAGAGCGGAGGGATTCCGAATTGTTGCAGTTTGTTGTCTTCTTGTGCAAGTAAGTGGGTACAGCAGGTAAACATCGGGAGTTAGATCTTGCGTTTTGCTTTTTGTGCCAGCTTCGGTATGGTGGCGGTTCTCCGATTTGGGGGCGTGCATGGTCCAGTCTTCAGAGTCTCGAAGTATTTTCTTGAGGCAGAACGGCCACGTGCATGGTCCACAAACAAGCACGGGTCACACAGACACACGTACATCGAGCTCCTGTTGCGTCTGCGCACACACTGAAACCAATGTACTGGGAACATGAGATGTCCTGAAACAATACAGGGAAATTCTTCAGGTGTCGAACTGCTCCCTGCAACCCCACTTTTGGGGAAAGACTCCTGAAGCTTCTGGCATGCATGCGCGGAAAGTGGACGGAGACCCTGCGCCAGGGTGGAATCCACAGTGATGCATACTGCCAACTTCCCCGTGGATATGCGTTCCTCTTTAAACCATCCTGCAGTGTATGAAACATGGAGACTTCTGTCCAATCTGAAGCACTCAGATGCTGAACGCATATGACATCACTGTGCAGCGAGCTCGCATCTGTTGACACATGTCGTATTTCCTGCCACGCAGAGGAACTCAGACGGCAAACAGCCTTGACGTTCACCTGTTAACCTCCGCCAGTGCCCCAGCGTGTCGGGAAAGGGAAGCTGCATGTCACAACATGTTGTGGACCCGAATTCTTTCAGTGGCAGTTGGAGCTCAGCACAGCTCACACACAGAAGAAGAGGCCCTGATTCTCGCTCGCCTCCGGTCGACGCGACTGCGGGAACTCCTTCCCAGGCGGTCGAGCTTGCTCTGTGACACAAGACCAGGGTACCGGAAGCGGGTTCTCTTCAGGCGGCTGGGTTCACGAAAGGGTCAGCTCCTAGTCGTGGGAGCCCTGTTCAGTGTGAAAACAAAGAGCCCCAAGAACCTACACCTTCCGCCACTGCCTTTGAAGTGCGCGTCCTGTGCTACGATATGAACACCCGCAGAAGCTCAGCGGCTCATGCACTGAAAGTTCTCTTCTAATGAGACACTTCGCTGAAAGGCTCTTCTTTGCCGGTTTTGCTTTTGGTGACTTTGCCTTTGCACTTGGTTGAAGCTTGATGCGGACAACATATCCCAAAGTGCCACATGCAATAGATTCTTCCGGTTCCACCTCCTCGGTGAGGCACTGGACCTCAAAGCGACTCGCAAGAGCAAAGGTCTGCTTCGACACGTTCAGCTATAGCCGGGCTGACTGGACATGCCCTTGCAACGTGTTGTGGTACCCCTCTAAACCTCGCTGGACACAAACGGTGACGGTGGACGCGTCTGACGCGTTGGTGTCTACGCACAGGTTCGGGGCTACTAGTCAGGCAGGCCGGGTTGGCTCCGCTTGGGCCCCTGCTGCCAGGCAGAACCTGGGATGCGCGCCAGGCCGGACGTCTCTCAATGGTTTTTGGAGAAACTCTTGCACAGTGCTTGCTCCTCGACACTTCGGGGGTCTTGGGGAGGGCAGCAAACAAGAACTACAGCAAGCCCTTAACCCTAAAGGCTGCACCCAAAAAACCCTGCCTGCATGCACAAACCCCGCATGTACATTGACAGACTACATACTACAAGCAGGCCGTGTTCCGGTCGGCAAAAGAAGAGGACAACAGTCAGCACAACAACGCCGTATTGGGGCAAACACTGTCTAAGGAGAAGTGGCTTGTTCTTATACGAACCCAAGATTCACCAAATTGGAGAGAATGAGCCGGAGGCTGGACGTGATACAATGCAACCACTGTGAAGCAGTCATCAACTACACTGCACATCAAATCTGATTCTGTAAGACTGTAAGACACCTCCTTCACAACGTATGTGCGCAACTGCAACAGTGTCGAGCTTCCGCTGTCAAGTCTTCCGAGTCCTGTGCTGCCATGCGCAATCCTGGCTCTCGACATGCTCAGGAGCAGGTTCAGGGCTCAAGGCTTGCTGGGCTCAGGGCTTGGGGATTCACAATCCGTCACGAAGCTCTGAAGTACAAATTCAGTCTCAACTTCAAGACACTTCTACTCCAGCTGCTTTGCACATCGGTTCCACGGGGCCCACCTCACTGAGTTTCCTCAGCGCGGAGCGGAGCGTCTGCAAGGGTGCAGAGCACCAGGGTTTTGCTTTCCAAGCAAACATCTCTTGCTGCGCATGTTCAACTGAAACTTTTCTACAAAACCTTTGAGAATCGAGTGCTCGAATCCGGCGAGTTGTGGGAGTATGTGTTCCGGTATGCTGCTGTAGGACGGGGCAAGACCACAACTTGAAGAAGACCATAGAAAGTCAACGAACCCGCTTTCACCAAGAGCTCTGATCAATCAGAATAATAACCAATCCGGATTCTGCTTGTTCAGCCCTTCCTTAGATCCTTAGATCGAACCGAGCTCAGTGATGCCGTGACGCCCCGGTAAACCGCTTCACCAGATGTGCCTTGGCCCAGGGCAGCTCCCGCGACGGAACGAGCAGTGCCAAAGGCGGCTCTTGAAAGATTACCTCAGCCGAGAGGTGCCCCACTACCCTTGGACCGTCGCAATTGAGCTCTCTACTGGCACAGGACCTGATCCGAGTTTGCTGAGGAGCTAAGCAAGTCAAGGCATTCTCAGGTTTATCGGACCAGCCATTCTGCCTCACCCTCGCCAATGTCGCGGGTTGCCAGCGTGCGTTGGCCGCGGTCCTTGCAACCCGTGGGTCGGTAAAGTCATGAGGCTTTGCAAGAATGGAAGTGCATTTCGTTGAAGCTGACATTGCCTTCGATGCACAGAGTCCAAGGTCCTGTTTTTGAAAATGCTGCTCACCGGCTGTGGAATTTTCCAATTTCCCAGACCTTGCCGCCTTTCTCCCAAGATCTTGTGTTGGCGCTGTCGTTCACGTCACACATGTCGATCCGTCCTCCGAACCTTCAATGCAGATCGGGGCCATGGCCATCCCGTGCTGCCTTTCTCTGTGTCTACCTAAACCATCCTACTAGATGTTCTTCTGTCCCGTTCCTCGATGGCCACCAACAGCAACTCCTGAAAACTGCCGTTTGCCTGGATGTCACGAATGTCCAACCCTTCTATCACACTTTCGAAACAACAGATTTGATGCAAATTTATCACAATCTTGGAAGTGCAAAGTTTCCCTGCACCAGTATTCAGCTTGAGGCCACAAGTTCGAAGCCAATCCCGCGCTTGGCAGATGGCTGTCCGCATACGGAAACCGAATAATTGTGCAGGAGCTCGCCATGCAGATTTCCATCACAAGTTAAAATACATACTGTGGGGGTACTCTGATGTGTCCTACGTTTTTGGTTGTTTTCCGAGCCCCGAACATGAGCTCATCAAGCTCGTCGAAAATGTTGCAGCGTTGGGAAGCCCTGGGCGGAGGCTTTCAGGCTTGGAAAGGTGTTGGGAGGGACTTGGCAAAGGCTGCAGTGAATGAATAGTGCGCGAAGTGCTGCCCGAACTCGTGCCTAACCGCGACAATAACTCTGTGAGGGGTTCCTTTGCCTTGGAGGCAACGCCAACGCCCACAGGGAACCCAGCGGACATGCTGTAAAAACCAAGGGAACCCGCTGAGGGTTCCCTAGGTTTTGGCAACATTGGAAATGAGTTCCCATGGTTTTTACTGCATATATTGCCGAGAGGTGCGAAGAGCGTAGCAAACCCAGCTGAGATACTGCAAAAAGCAGGGCAACCCACATGTAGCCCACCTGAACTGCTGCAAAAGACAAGGGAACCCATAGCAAACCCAGCTGACATGCTGTAAAAGCCAAAGGAACCCTCCGCTCACACATCTCGGCAACACAGGTTGTAAAACCACGGGAACCCACTTCCAATGCAGAACATACGCTGACCCACCTGGAGAAAACAAGAGAACCCACATGTAGGCCACCAGAACTGCTGCAAAAAACAGGGGAACCCAGAGGGAACCCACCCCATCTGGCGTAAAAACCAAGGGAACCCACCCACACACCCGTGCCGGCAGCTGAGTATTTTACCACCGGCTTTGCCCTAAGCGAAACATGCTCAGAGCCGTAAAACATTTGCCCATTTAAGAAACCTGCTAGACGTCAATAAAGAGCTTACAAGTTGCTCACGCCGTTACCGCATATCGAACGCGGCTACAACCTCAGAAGTTTTTGGCTGCGATGTTTCAGAAATTTAGCAAAAAGCTTTGCGCGCGTGTTAGCAAATGCCACACGCGGCACGAGCATTGTGTTTCCAAGCGCCAAAATGTATCAAACAAACATTGGAGCCATCAAAACGACCGGCAACAATCTAGATACGGCTATTGGCTACGATCACGGCACGAGAAGCGTGTGTCCAAGCGCCAAAATCGAACACAGTAACAACGTCCAAGTCGTAGCTTTAGATGCGGCTTTTGGCTGCAACGTTTGCTTTTTTTGGCGTGAGCAGGCCTCGTCGACGGTGGTTGCCGCACTCGGTCCTAACGAAATCTACAAGAAGCAACAATGAGCAAAAAAGCAACTAATAAACGGTGAAATGAGCTGCGACCAACAGATTTAGCGGGCAAGAGTTGTTCAGCAATGAATTACCCGTCTCATATCAATATCGGCCTTTGTTCAGATGCCCCGCTTCCCAGATTTC